AAATTTCCTGACAGTTAGAACAATTAATCAGTGGAACAGATGCCTCCATAAGTTGTGAATGCCCCAACACTGGAAGTCTTTAAGAAGATGCTGAATAACCATTTGTCTGAAACGGTATAGGGTTTCCTGCCTAAGCTGCGGGTTGGACTAGAAGACCTCCAAGGTCCCTTCCATCTTTGCTATTGTATTGTATTGCAGGAAACTCATTACTATGTACATGTATTCATAGATCAAGAACCTTGGATAGGTGGGACAAAATAAAAAGAAAGGAAGGAGGGGGGAATAATTAAATCATTTGAGGGTGCTGCCGTGTGCTGCAAAGGGCATTTTCTGCTTTAAAAGGCACGTTGGCTTGGAACCGTACCCAGATCTCATTTCTGATGCTCTTCCCTCTCCTTTTTCTCCTTTTGCCTATTTTCTTTTTTGTCACCATATGATGCTCAGGGACTCCAGAGAGCCTAGCGGAGAAAGAGAGGCAGCTTATGGGCATGATCAATCAGCTGACCAGTTTGCGGGAGCAGCTGCTGGCGGCTCACGATGAGCAGAAGAAATTGGCGGCCTCGCAAATTGAGAAGCAACGCCAGCAAATGGAGTTGGCCAAGCAGCAGCAAGAACAGGTGAGCGGTTATTAAAAGGGACTTTTAATCTAGCCCTGCTCTGGCATTGGGGAGGCAGGAGATTAGCACTCTATTAACACGTCTTTATTTCTAAAAAAAAAGGCTGAAATAGTCACGGAACTGTTCCCAGAGGGCTGGAAGATATATGTATATATATATTTTTAAAAAAGTTAAATGGAATATACAACAGGATGTGTTATTTTCGGCTCGTGGTGAAGAAGAGGAACAGATCCCAGAGTTCTTGGCAATAATGATATTGTCCAAACCCCTGGCCCTGCTCTTACTTCACAGGTGTTATTCTGCAGGTTTGCACTGTTTTCGGGCGAACTGGTAGCGGCGATGGCGCGAGGCCTTCACCCGCCCACCCAGATGTCATCACGGACCTTCTGCGTATGCGCAGAAGGTTCTGTACATGCCCAGATGTGCACACGTGCTCACACTACTGGTAGTGAAGATAATAGGATACCATTACTGTCTTACTACCCTGCCCCAAGGATCGTGGGGTGGCCCCAAGTAGCCTTATCAAAAGAGTAGGGTTGAGAGCAGTGGTGGGTTCCGGACCCATTCTAACCGGTACGTTTGGAATGGGTGCGGCGTCACCCACATGGACGCGCGCATGCGTCGTTCCTGTCAGTGACGCTTCCGCAAGCCTCCATGACGCGCCAGCTGCTCAGCAGGGCATCATGCAGGCACTGTATGTGCCGTGCGCCAAAGCCTTAAAAGACATATAAGGAGCTCAGGCAGGCGGGTGGGCCCTCCTGAGCACCGTACCAGAACGGTATCTGGTGCTCCATGAAGGATCCGGTACGCCCTTACCAGGACGTACCGCCTACAACTCACCACTGGTCGAGAGACAAGATTAGGGGCAAGGCACCTTAACCGTCTTTTCCTCCCCACTCTTTCAGTTTAAATCCATTTAAGTCTGACTCCATTTAATTTTATAACGCAGTTAGTCCTCGACTTATGACCTCAGTTGAGCCCAACATTTCTCTTACCAAGTGAGACACTCGTTAAAATGAGTTTTATGCCTCATTTGATGACCTTTCTTCGTGCCAAGGGAATCACTGCAGTTGTTAAGCGAGCAACACAACGGTGAAGTGAATCTGGCTTCCCCATTGATTTTTGCTAGTCCGAAGGTCACAAGAAGGGATCACGTGACCCCCTCCAGAACACTGCAATAGTCATAAATACGAATCAGTTGTCAAGCGTCTGAATTTTGATAACGTTACCATGGGGATGCTGCCACAGTCCTAAGTGAGAAAATTGGGCGTAGCTCACTTTTTTCTGCGCTGTTATAACTTCAAATGGTCCGTTGTGAGTTGAGGACTACTTGCCAATATTTTGGTGGGTTGTTTCAACAAATGTGACCCCAGGACAATACAGCTGTCATAAATTCAGGCCAATCATGCCCAAATTTTGGTCACGTGACCACGGAGATGCTGCAACAGTCATAAGTGTGGAAAAATGGTCACAAATCCCTTTTTTTCAATGCTGTTGTAACTTCAAGAGGTCATTAAGTGAATGGCTATAAGTCGAGGACTTTAGAATTACTGACTTGAGTAAGTGTTTTTACACGGATGTTTGGCTTCTGATACTTTCTCGTAGTGTTATAATATGCGTAGTAAAATCACAAGTCTTCTTCCATTCTGAAATTCATTGAGTATATTCACTGGGTACTCCTACTCATGTTTAACTGAACCATGGTTTAGCGAACTTCATTGTCTGTGTTTGCCTATATCACATTCAACCATAAGCAGAGGTAGGATTCAGCCGGTTCACACGGGTTCGGGCGAACCGGATGTTAATTTTGCATCCGGATCGGCGAACCGGTTGGTTCCACGCAGCCCATTCATCATGCCAGGTAAGTGCAGGGCCTGCGTGGAGGCTTTGGGAGGGCAAAAAACGGGCATCCCTGAGGTCCTGGAAACAGCTCCATTTCCAGCCTCCGAAAGGCCTCCAGAGCCCAGGGGAGGCTGTTTTTGCCCTCCTGGAGGCTCGTGAAAGCCTACGGAGTCTCCAGAGGGCAGAAAAGGGAAGCCTACAGGAACGGCCCACTGTAAGCCGTTTCCGGCTTACGGTGGGCCTCCAGAGCTCAGGGGAGACTGTTTTCAACATCCAGGAGGCTCGTGGGAAGCCTCCGGAGGCTGGGGAGGCCCAAAACGCCCCCTCCCCACTATGGTGCAGGACAGAAAGCCGAGTATACCATGCCCACCATAGTCACGCCCACCCAGCAACTGGGCAGAGAATGTTGCTAACATTTTTGAATCCCACCGCTGACCATAAGCAATAAGGATGTGGATTTGTATAACCTACTAAGCCAACCTCATTGTCTAGTTCACGACTGACAGTCAGAAGAGGCAAACACCAAATTCCACTTCAGCAGAATTGGGGTCTTCCCAAATCTAGGACTAGAATTCATTTCCAGTGGAGTAAAAATTTGGGCTTCCTTCCAGATTGGATAAACTGACCTGGAATGGGAGAAATTGGAATTTGGTAGCATTCATCCTTGGTGTAAACTATTATTTCTCAATCTGGGCAGCTTGAAGATGGGTGGAGGAGTGGGGAATAGAATTCCCCCTAGCTGGCAGAGGAATTCTGGGAGTTGAGGCCCATCCCTCTTCAAGCTGACAAGGTTGAGAAACCCTGACATATACTAAATATGTGAACGATCAATCATTTTAAATGTAATAATTTAATAATAAAATAATTTTTACTACATACAGACTAAAAAAAAGACCCTTGTTCATCCACCCAAAATCAAGACAATTTTGTAGGATCAAAGGATCAACGCAGGGCAAAAAAAAAATGGAGATATAATCAGCAACCTGGACAAAATTAAAAGGAGTTAAACAAATTTATGGGGGTTGAAGTGATCAGTTACTACTTATCATTATGATGGTGAATGTCAACTTCAGTGGCCGAGGAACACATTAGAAAATGCTACGGTTTTCCTGAGCATTTACCATTGTGGGCCTTCTAATATTCTTAGAATTGGATCAGGAAATATTTTCCAGCCACTCCCATCCCAAATCACTTTTCTTTTTCCAGCATAAGAACAAGTTTTCAACTATGACTGCTACACATAATCAATACTTTATTGGATAATAGAATGGATGTATCAGTGGTTTTTTTAATTTGAACGAGACTGTTTATGGGCAAAGATCTAAGCACATTTTTAGAAACCTTGGTCTTTTGAGACCGACACGCACAGATGCAAAAAACACATGCATGCACTGGCTATTAAACTACATGTACGTGTGTTGACCCCACAGATTGCAAGACAGCAGCAGCAACTTCTGCAACAACAACACAAAATCAACCTGCTTCAGCAACAGATCCAGGTCAGAGATTATGAATCTGTCCATTATTTCAATTATTCAAGTCCATTTTCCATTCCTTTTCACTGTCTTCAAGCCAGAGATGCAGTGCCAGTCATTAACAGAGGGGTTCCTTATGCATAGACGGATGTCAACTTTAAATTCAGGTTTGTGACTTGAGGTCGGAGCGTACCGCATTTTTCTGTGTATAAGACGCTACTTTTTCTTTAAAATATATACTTGAAATTAGAAGGGCATCTTATACACAGGAGGCCGAGAGGAGAAGACATGGCCCATCCCCGTCCTCCAGCTCTGACGCACATGCCGGATGAGCCTCTCCCTTATATGCAGCGCTATCATTCCTCTCTATTGTAGTTGTTTCCTGTATCACATTGCCACTCTAGGTTTCATCTCTATTGTTCCTGTGATGCATTTCCTGTTGTTGTATTACTTCCTCTCAAATAAGATGCACATGGATGGCTTGTAGTATGCTTATTTACTTACGCTACATGAAACATGGGGGTGTCATATAGATGGAAAAATATGGTATAGCTGTTCATACTGGTTGAATTCTATATGAGTGAGTTCCATTGAAAGCTGGATGGAAGGTGCCGAAGGAGACACATGGGTTGAGGGAGACATATCTCAAGCCCCGTTGATTTAAATGCATCTTCACAATATCAGCAACCACAGTTGATTTTCTGTGATGTGTGGTGTTAACTGAACACCTGCTTTTCTTGGAAAAAACATCTGCAGGGGCTTTTGGAGGCACATTTATCACAGCCATGAAACCCCATTCATTTGCTTGGTAGCTGGCACATTGGTACCGTACATAAATGGATGGACCATGTCGTTCATGTTCCTTCTCACGATGGGGAGCCAATTCGCACGGAAACTTTTTTGTTTGTTTGTGGAGAAATCACAGCATGTGGGCAGCGCCATCTATCACACAGCCAACCATACAGGTGATGGGGAATGATGTCAGTTATGGCTGCAAATCCAAGATCCTTTTCGGTGACAATAGGTAGGATGATGTTGAGAAAACAAATCTCCTTGCGTATTCTTCTAAGGCATGGGGTTATGCAAATGTCCTTTACTATGTTCCTTGATTGGTTGGCCTTTATCACATAATGAAAAGAGAAGAGAGGAAAAAAATAGGTTTTTGTACATTGGCAAAATTATGGCTGTAAACAGGTCCAGCATAAGCAGGGATGTGGGATGTATCGGTTCAGGCGAACCGGTTCGCTCCGACAATCAGCTTGGACACTCACCCGCCCCTGCGCTTTACTTACCTACACCCTCTCAGCTGATTCGCACGGCAGAGCAGATTGCCATGCATCAGCTGTGTTACTCCCCCAGAAGCAACGTGGAAGGTATGTTTTGTTAAAACTGCGCACGGGCGCAAAACACGCAATCACCAAACCGGTTGTTAAACCGGCAGGATCCCACCACTGAGCAAAGGATATTTTCTGGAAACATTTTTTTACTACTGGAAGTAGTAACTTGCCCACCATGCAAAAATGAAATATTTATTTCGGAGAGGGCCTGGTATGCATGAATGATGCACTCGCTAACTGCTCTTTAAAGTAGCTGCATCTTTTTCTGGATTTTCATAGCAGCTATGTGATCCTAGGGCGATATGCATTTGAGTTAAGAAGGCGGGTAGAAGGGTATAACAAGGTGTTTGGGGCAAAGTGTGAGTACAGCCTACTGCTCCTACTGTGCAGGAGAAGATTTGGGGTTAGCTGGAGCTCTTTTCCAACTGCTTTTCCAAATTCTGCTCTTTCTGATCACAAAGTTGACAAAATTGTGAGGAAATGACTCTAAAATGATACGAATGTTAAGACATCATGGTTTGAATATTTAAGATGCAGACAACAGTTTCTTCTCTTTATCCTCCTCCTCCTCTTCCTCCTCCTCCTCCTCCTCCTCCTCATTCTTTGTTTAAAATCCTACTTCCCAGAGCCAATTTTATATTAAAGCTGACTAACTTCACAGTAATTCTTGTGCATGCTGTGTGAAGAGTTCATTGATTTTAATATATATTTCATAAGCTATCCTAATATTTTTTTTGAGAGTTGTATTGTTGCAGGATTGATTCATTGACTGACTGGTTCGATTTGATTTATATAGCTGCCCATCTGACATATGTGGCTTACAGTTCAATAAATAATATTCATAAAACACATCGTATAAAAAAATAAATAAAAATAAAACATTTGGCTGCCAGATGTCATCCTACCAATCGCCTCTCAACCAGGAGATAGCCTCTATCCCAGGGGTGGCATACTCTTACCTTCCCTACCAGTTTGCAAATTTGAGCATGCTTTGCTCGCATGTGCCATTTCTGCGCATGTGCATATCCTTCCACACATGCGCATTTGGTGAAAAAAGGGCCTAAATGGGATGCCATAGAGCTGGGCGCAGGTTGGCGGAGACACCTGCAATTTTCGCTACCGGTTCGGGCGATCAAGTCCGAACCCGTAGAATGCCACCTCTGCTCTATCCCATTCCAGGTTTAGGCATAAAGCCAAAAATCCAAGGCCTTGTGGAAAGCACTCAGCGACAGGGACAATCTTAAGGAGAAAGATTTTGCCAAAAGTGGGGGCCAGAAGGGAAAAGGCTCTCTTTCTGGAGCCCACAAATCCAAAGTAGCTGGAGCATGTCCCTCATCAGGTAGGACCAAGACAAAACATCTGGGAAAACATCTGGCCAGTTGTAAGTGCTGCTTGGAGACCAATGGTGTCTCATACTCGGAAGTAATCAGTGTCAATAACTATCTACACCAGGGGAGTCAATCTCACATCACGGCGGTGTCATGTGATGTATTGTGACTCCCCCACCCCCACTTTGCTAAACCGGGCATGGGCGTGGCCAGCGCGTGACGCATCCGGCCTGCAGGCAGCGAGTGTGACAGCCCTGATCTACGGCGTCACATTCTGCACTATTTGAAGCTTCTGGATGTTGCTCAAGAACAGCCCATGTAAAGCACATTGCGCTAATCCAGCCTGGACATCACAAAGGCACAAGTGGCCTTGAGCAGAGACTCCCAGAATGGGCACTAATATACCACCTCCAGTTGTTCAACGACCTTCTTCTTACCCCCACAGCTGCCACCTGCTCTTAGAGAGGAGTTACAGCTTGGCAAACTCCCAAATGCCTCTGCCATGCCATACCATGCTGCAGGGGTGGGTTTCTCGCCCCGTTCCAACCGGTTCAGTTGGAATGGGGCCGGCGGCGTCCTNAATGGAAACATTTGCCTTTAATGGATCCCTCTTCTTTTTATTTTTCCAAACTATCAAATTATAAAAAGCTTTATCTCTCCCATTCTGACAGACAGACAGACAGACAGACAGACAGACACACACACACACACACACAGACACAAACTTGGATTTATGTTTCAGTTGTCAACTTGAGAATATGTTCTTGTCTTGTAATTACAGGTCTCTACCTGACTGGCTCGTGGCTTGTAACCTTTGATAAATGTTTTTGGCCTATAAAACAAATGCATAATTGATTAGAAATATTATACTATTTAGAATGAAATACATTGATAGTTACATTAGTCCTTTGGGGGAGGTGGGGAATCCACTGTAAGGCAATATTGCTATAGGACCAACCAAAATGCTATTTCATATACACGTCTTGACACCCTGCCGAATTTTTCAGGTAATAAAATTTTACAAAAGGGATTGAGGAGGAATTCCAATGATTACAGCAGGTGTTTCATCCATTACATTTGTGAGATCTGAAATTTAAAATAATAAATAATATTAGTCATAGCAACGTAGTAATTTTAATAATGATATGCAATCTCAAAGCAACTGGAACATCGGTTGAACACCATCGGTATTGACAAATTCACCATCAGTATTGACAAATTCACCATCAGTCAATTGCAAAAGGCAGCTTTACTTGCAAATATTATAAATATAATAATATAATAACTGATCCTGAGCAGAATTTTGCATCTGCTTTATGATTGTCCTCTAGGTTGATAATCCTTCCATGCATTGTTTGGTCATGGTTGTCTATGTCTTCTCCATATCATATGGTTTGTAGCAGTGGTGAAATTGATTTTTTTTTACTACTGGTTCTGTGGGCGTGGCTTGGTGGGCGTGGCAGGGGAAGGATGCTGCAAAATCTTCATTCCTGTGGGGCCAGCCAGAGGTGGCATTTGCCAGTGCTCTGAACTACTCAAAATTTCCGCTACTGGTTCTCCAGAACCTGTCAGAACCTGCTGGATTTCACCCCTGGCTTGTAGAAGGAAAACGGGTGATACGTTGCTCATCTGAACTTCAAGCTAAAGCTTGAGCAAAACACTCCTCCTCTTCCAGACCCATTGTCCAGAATATTTCTGGAAGAGACATCAAAATAGTCTTTAGCAAAGGGGTTGAATAGGACCCTCTCAATTCATGAAAGATGGAGGGGAGTATTTTAGCTACTGCATAATGAAACTAATCCCTTTGCAGGCGGATGGATGGATGGATGGATGGATGGATGGATGGATGGATGGATGGAGAGATGATGGATAGAAAAGTGAACCCTGCTATTGTCCTGGAAACTCAGCTCTTTGAAGTGACAGCCCAATTAAGGCAAAATAAGGATTCATTGAAGATGTATTGCAACCCTCCTCCTTTTGCAGCAAGCCTTTTCTGCGATCACTGATGCCTGGAATTTACCAAAGCAGCATGAAGGGGGCATGTGAATGCACTTTGGCACATTAAAGGGCAATAGAAGACAACAAGATGATATCCAGAAGTTGGAGTCTCATCTTATTGGACTTAAAATACCAGCTGTGGTGGCATTGGGAGTTATGTTTCTCATAGGGGGTCTGTAGATGTTTAGTGTTTTTTTTTCATGTGATATTTTTATTTTATTTTAAACACATAAGCACATCAACAAAAACAAACACATAATTTAAAAACAACATAGGAACAATAAGTTCCATCGTATATCATACAGCAGTTCCGAATCGGTTTCTTTGCAGTTAGTGTTTTCCCTACTATAAACATTTCTATCTTTCGTTCATAATCTCCTTATTCGTTATCCATTTGTATGTACATTTCTTTCTTTATTTAAACTTAGCTACTTATGACCAAATATTAT